CATTCCACTGTTGGTGGACATTTGGATAGTTCCCATTTGGGTTTATTGCAAATAATGTTGCTATCAACATTCCTGTAGGTACCTTAGGTAAACATATGTTTTTATTTCCATTGTTACTCTTAGACCTGAGTAACACTACTGACTCTAAAGATTTGCAAATATTCAGTCCTAATACTATCAAATACTTTTTTTAGAGTTTTTTGTGTCAATTAATACCTATCAGAACAGTGTGAGATTTCTAGTTGCTCCACACCCCCACTGGATTAAAGTAGATTGCTCTGGCTATTGTGTGGAGAATGGATAGTAGGAGGTCATCCATAGATGCAGAAAGATGAGACTAATGTCATGGAGGGAAAACAGTACCTTGAAATAGTCCAGTGCCCATGGTGATAAAGAAAAGTGAGGAGATTTGAGCTATAAACAGTGTTGCCTCCTGAATTTATGATGACTCTTCTCTTTTTATGAAGACAATTAGGTGACAGTGAAGAGGACAGGGAAGCTGACAATACAAAAGGAAACAAATACTTTGAACAAAAGTAAAATTCTCAAGGAGTTAGTTGGTTGATTTGAAATTGGTAAATGTGGTTTGGGGGTGTAACTCAGTGGTAGAGCACTTGCCTAGCATGGCAAGACCCTGGATGAGATCTCCACCAACACAACACACACACACACACACTAGTAAATCCAGAAGGCTTTTCTAGGTATCTGTGGATCATGGATCCTCCCAGTAAGTGACCTCACCAGACAAGTTAAGCAATGGGGTCAGCACTGGCCCTGGATCTGCCCTGACACAGGAGGAGGGGAGCGAGGGTGCTCCTGCAAACTTGGTTCTTCTGCGGTTGCTGGGGATGATATAACAGAACTAAAACTCTCAGCCCTTTCCCTGGAAAAGAGCAAAATCCTGCCTTGTGTAGTATAAGCCAGACAAGACCAACGGGGAGGGAAGGATCAAAACAGCTGTGGGATTCCAGGGATGGGAGATGAACAAAGAACTTGTTCTGGGCTATGAGGACAAGAACAAGGCTGGAGGCAGAGTGAGGAGCCTCAAAGATTTGGAAACTCTCCTCGCAGAAGGCTCTGTGGATCACACCTGTATTCCCAGCGGCTCAGAAGGCTGACAAAGGAGGATTACAAGTTCAAATCCAGAAACTTAGGGAGGCCATAAGCAACTAATTGAGACCCTATGTCTAAATAGAATTTTAAAAATAAAAGGCTGTAGATGTGGCTCAGTGTTTAAGTGCTCTTGGGTTCAATACCCAGTACCAAGGCAATCCAAAAAAATAAGAAAATCCTCCCCACCCCCACCCCCACATCCAACTGAACCTAGGAACATTTTCCAACTAACCTACAGCTCTAGCCCTTTATTTTTTATTTTGAGATAATGTCTCCCTGTGTTGCCAAGGCTGCCCTTGAACTTGCATCCTCCCGTCCCAATCTCCTGGATCTCTGGGCTCACAGGTATGCCCCATCCCACCCTGGCTGCACCAAGGTTAATCTGGTGGGGGCATATATAATGAAGTGTGGGGTGGCATGGGACAAGAGCTAATGGGACTTAGTAAGGAAGCCAAGAACATCTTCCTCATGGAACATGATTAGGAATTGAATGAGAGAAGGAGAAAGGACTGATAGATTCAGGAGCCATTGAAGCAAAAGTCAGGAAGACTTGGCTTTGGCAGGTGCATAAGGATTAAAGTTTTTCAGCCTAGGTGACCTGGTGGATGCTATTTTTCAATTAAAAGGAGGAGGAAATCAAAGGGAGATGAATTTGGAAAATATTATGACGTCACTTCGGATACAGGCTGAATCTGAGCTAAAACCAAGACATTTGAGTGGACATATCCTTCGGGCTGTTAGATTTGGTTCTCTAGGCATGTACAGATAACTGTCATCAGGGGAATAGCTGATTCCCTGGCAGGAGTGAACTTCTTGTGGGAAAAGTCACAGGAAGAAAAAACGATTAGGGGCTGGATCTTAGGAAATCCCATACTCCACATCACAGCATTTGTGAGCATACTGAACCATATCCTAGCTCACCAGACCTTCCAACACCACTACCTCTTCCCACTGCTGAAGGCATTTATAGCTAAGGAGCATTTACTCTAAAGCAGTCTTGACACCTGGCCCCCCAGTTACCATTAAATCCTAAGAACAACTATATGAGGTAGGTTTTACAAACCAATTTTACCTAGGACAAACTGAGACCCAGAGAAACCAATTAGTTCATTGAGTGTGAAGTAGTGTGGCCCTAGCCTCAACTCAGGTTGAGGAATTGATTGGGAATCAGGGGGGCACCTACTATGTGCCAAGGTTTATGGGGAATGTTTAATATTGAACCCAACCCTCAAGGAAGCTAAAATATGAACACGTAAGGTAGGCACATAAATATGATAAAGTAAGGTGGAGCTCAGCCATGCTCCAGAACAGGTAGAAGTAAGGTCTTCCTATAGTTCAAAGGGCTGAGGACATCATAGGCAGCTTCCAGGAGAGGTAAAGACTTTAAGAATTTGTGTTTGGTGCTGGGTTCACACTATTACATTGACTCACTATTACACTGACTCTTATCCCACAGGTACTATGTCTTGGAATCACAGCAGCTCTGGCAGAGGCTAGACATCCTGACTGGGTGAGATACAAATTAAGAAGAGATTTGGGAGGACATGGTGTGCACACCTGTAATCCCAGTGACCCTGGAGGTTGAGGCAGGAGCTTCTCAAGCTCGAGGCCAGCCACAGCAATTTTGCAGAATCCTCTCTCATTAATAAAAAATAAAAAGGGCTATAGATCAGGCTGGGGTTGTAGCTCATCAGTAGCACACTTGTCTGGCATGTGTGAGACAGTGGGTTCTCATAAATAAATTAATTAATTAAATATCCATCAACAACTAAAAAAAATTATTTTAAAAGGGCGGAGGAGCTGCTGTGATCAATCTCGGTAGAAGAGAACTCCTAGGATAAATCCCCAGTGAGCCTCCACCCCTCAAAAATGAAAAAAAGAGAGACTGAGGATTCTGTCTCTAAACTAGTCTCTCCCAGAGCCTCTACAGAATTCCTAACTGCCATGAATCCCCACTGGCCCTTAGTTTTGCCTAACTCCAAGTCCCGGGATATAGGAAAATTTATTTTCAAGCACTCTGTTACAAGACTGCATCCCCAGCCCCAGGAATGTATTTCAACCTGGCTCCAGAGTCACTTGGCCATGTGGAGAACACAGCTAGGTGTGGTCGGGCCACCATGGGGAGGGGGCAGCCCTATTCAGACCACTTTCCACACCCGGTCCAGATTACATGTTCCTGCTGGTGCTCAGTCTTTGGAATGCTTGGTGCCATCTACTGCCTCTCTGTGTCCGGAGTCGGCCTCAGAATTGGACCCAAATGCTCAATGTATGGCATGTGGGACTACCACTTCCAAGAAACCTTGTAAGGATTAGCAAATTAGTGACCCCCATTCTGTATATGCCCTGGTTTCCATGTCCTTCCCACAAGGGCCGGGACCCTGGGTGCCACTGAGCTTCAGGAGAATTCCCTCCATGTGGGTCCAACCAACCCTTTGAAAATTTCATCCTGTGAGTGGAGGGGACTGAGGGTGGGGGTAGGGCACCACCTGACCTCCTTCACTCACCGCACCCTACCTGTCCACAGAGGCGCTTACTTGAAGAACTATGCTTCCTGGAATTTCTGCGAGGAACCACCCAACGTGGTGTCCTGGAATGTGACACTGTTCTCCTTGCTGGTAGTTGCCTCATGCCTGGAGATTCTGCTGTGTGGCATACACCTGGTGAACACTTTTATTCTATACTTTGTGAACATGTATAGACTATAGCCCTCCTTGATCTGAGGCTTATTTTTAAAAGGGACATGTTTTTCTTTTTTTCTTCTTCCTCCCCCTCCCAACTTGGGGACAAGGAAAAAGATTGCCTTGAGTTATCTGTGCTCCACAGGAGGGAGATGTCTGCCAGAGTTTCCAGGAAGAGACTATCTCCCACATTAACAAGTGAATCCCAACACACTATCCAGATGCCCTGAGACCCCC